ACTAACGTGCGTAACTGTCGCGGGATTTTAGTCGCCTCTTACGACAGGCATACCTTACCGCGGGTAAATCCTTGAGCCCCTAACCCGCAGGGGGTCCTGTTTTTTTACTCCGCTTCAAAACTGCTCAAAAAGCTTCTTACATCACGCTATTTTTAGCATCGAGTTAGGTCAGAAATGAACTAGTCTAGATCACACTTTTAAACAGCGTTTAAAGAATTCAGAGATTGAGTTGATTATTCCAATGATTCTGATTTTTATCACCGCCAGGCAAACAGCAGTTTGGAATGGAATGGACTATAATCATGTGGTCTATTACAGTTTTCCTTGACTCACAATCAGTCGCATGTTTAAATTGGCAATTACGGCAAAATGCTTCATTCACTGTTTAAAGTGACTAACAGTGACCTTATAAGAGAACCAGTGATCTTAACTTGACCGGCATTTTTCCTTCGATTGCTGGTTCATCGAAGTCGTCCTTCTCCCATAGTTTTGATAAAAATGCTCATCAAAGTATTGGCTTTCAGAGTGCACTCTGCAGTTGCTCTAAACTCAATTATGCCTCCGATGCGCCTCCTACTGTACTAGGTCCACTATGCCACTCCAGACGAGCAGTTGTTCCTCTTTTCCTGTGTGGTGCCAAATGGAGTTACCAAGTGAAGAGTAGAGAGTTACTATTTTCTTAATTATACTACAAATTGTTTACATTTAATTTTTTTTGCACTAAATTTGGTAGTTGAACTTTAAATTATTGTACCACAATTCAAATATTTCTCCAAAACATTAAGTAACATTTCAAATAGGCTTCTGGTCATAAGCACACACACTTACACAATATATTATCGCGTAATAAAATTTTTTATATGCTTTTGCTTTAGTCATTAAATTTACATGACAGCAAATCTGTGACCGCTAAGTTTGCGCTTGTCTCGTCGCTGGCGCACTCGTTCGGCCATTGCTTTTGGCTTGAGCTCAGCTAAATGCCCGAGTTCAATGCCACATCACGTGCGACATCAGCAAGGTTGTATGTAAATTTTACGCCTGCTTAGGAATTAATATAACGTTTTTCAAAAATAATAAACAAACAACAAAATAAGCGGTGACCATGTCGAAGGTCTTTATATACCTTTCACACCATTCATGACCATATCAAAGTTATGGTTTTTCTTTTATGGATTAAATATTAGTGCCAATATCTCAAAACTTGGTTGTGGAGGTGGCTTTACGATGAAGTTATTTGTCTCAACACTTCAATCTGACCCGATTGGTATATATTTTAATGAGTCTATCGCTTCTCGGGTTGTGACGTAGTGGTATACGCTGACGATCACTAGAAAACACCTCCAGATCCTAAGCGATCCGCTCGAAACTCCTCTTTACACAGTAAGTAGCTGGTGCAATTGATGCGTTTTGGATGTGAATTCTTCAAAGACCAACTGGCACTCTTCAATGGTAGGTTTAAGCCTTATGTTTTAAACTACCCTTGCACAAAGGCACCGTGATCGCTCCTTCTATTGTGGTTAAATACTTAGTCATAGTTTTAGTTAGCAAACTCACCATGGTAGAAAGGTATAAGAAAGCTCCGACTCTAATCTAAGTTTGCAAAGAGGCAACCGGTAAGAGTCGAGGACTAAGACGACATATTGTGTACTGGCTATATGAAGCATTAATAAGACCCATATTATTCTACGGAGTCACTAGACAAAGCTACTTATAGCAACAAGCTGGAAAAAGTTCAGTGGAACTCCACACTCCATGCTCATTACAGGTGCGCTACCCTTAACTCCTACGAAAGTTCCAGAAATTTTGCTTAATCTTCTCCCGGCAGACCTATAGGAGAAACTCCTTATGAGCTGCAACGTCATAAGACTGAATGCAACTCAAGGAATCGAATAGGTGGGCTATACCACTTCCGCCTTCTGTTTCGGCAACCTTTTTCTCAACAAAAGTCCCAGCAAGGAACAAACGAGAAAAAGCAGCAGTTCTGGATATCCCAGGTAAAGTATTGTCTAAGACTAGCCTCCACCGGAAGTCTCAATAGCAGATGGCAGATCAAAACCCCGTGGAATGTGACAAGACAAATCTGGTCATTAAACGAGGTAAACAGAACTAAACTCCTTCTAAACCGCATCTACATAAGCATAATAACCGGACAAAGTCTTATTGGGACTAACTGTAGGCGGATGGAATGTTACGCAAACGACTTCTACAGCAGCTGCAGGGACATAGATGAGAAGGAATCGGTGGAACACTACTAATATCACTGCGCAGCTTACAGTGCGGTTCGTTATCGCTTTCTCGGGAATTTCTTCCTCGATTGTCTTGCAGAGCTTGTATCGGTAGTCAACATTAATATACTGAATTTCATGAAACATATCTAGTGATTCGAGCATTTCGAAAGTTGAAAGGAATCTCCTTAGCAGGACCAATATGGCATCACAATGGATCAGTATGCCTAAGTGCGCTTGACAAGGGTTCTGTGATCCTGTGAAAGGTATAAAAAAAGTATTAATTTTATATAGGGATTTAATAGGATGAATTCTGCATATGTACAGGGTTAAACATTTTACGGTTTTGAGAATAAATATAAAATAAATATAAAATTTTTTTTTCAAGAAATTTTTTCATTATTCTAAATTTGAAGCTTGACTTTTGGTCTGAAACACTACATATATCGTTCAACTGACCGTCTCGCGAATCTTTGCAAACTTCGATCACTTTGAGGTAATTTTCGTCTATTTTTCGACACTAACGTTGGTCCTCAGGATCAATAAAAAAGTTCAACGGTGTCAAACCGCACAATCTCGATGGCCAGATTACGTGGACGGGAAATTTCTCTCCCATAAAGACATATCTGCGGCATTAGGAATGGCTAGCTGGCCTCAGTTGTTGTGTGAGTTGGACTTTATATCAAGGTAGGTGTAAGGCCAAAAGCAAAACAAGCTCTAACGTTCCGTCAGAAAGTCCCAGCTCTTGAGAACGTCGAGAAATAGCCACATTCGGGTCTCCGGCTACACTTTCGGCTACAGTAGCGAGCAAAGCAAAAAGTTGATGCATCGGCCTTACAATATTTGTAATCGATCTAATCTTTTGAAATTGCTTCAACATTTTACCAATTGCTTGAATAATTGGAAGTTTATGTGTATTAGGGTGCTCCTCTTAAAGCACAAAACGTGGCCAAGTTTGAATCAACCATTTTTGTTGTAAGTTCTAACAATTTTAACGCGTTGTGCGGTTGCTAAGCAATTCATTTTCGTAAATTTCTGAATTTTAACTGAAACAAAACATGTTTGGTTTGATAGTTTAGTTTTGACAGATGTCAAAATGAATCCTTACACTTTTGAAACAACGAAATTTATAACCCAATATATTGGTATGTAATCAATTATATGTATGTTTATATTTATGTGTGTAAATATGTATTAAGCAACGCCCCAAAAAATATTTGCAATGACCTATACATATGTTTGTACATAAAAGAGTGTTGCCCAAAGTTTATTGCCTTCCGTTTGCACAGCTGAGCACGGATTTATCTATCTATCTATGCGTATAGCCACGAATATATACATATATACTTACAAGCAAAGTACACTGTTTCTAAAGGAAAGTGCATTTTCCATTTAATTGCTCCACTTACGTGTGGGCGTTGACTTATGTGTCTGTATAAAAGATACTCATGAGAGTGCAAATATTTTCTCAAAAATTACACTTTCATGCACCGAAATCTCCTCGGTGATATTTTGATAGTTCACTGACACTGCAGCTTTGTGGTTTGCTAAATATAAATTACGGTGATATGTGAGTTACTAAATTACAGTAAATATTTGGCAATTTCGAAGAATAATAACCAAGGTGTAAGTTTTGATTTTGAACTTGGGGAAAATGTGATATTTTTGACTTCAAATTGTTGATTTTCAGTTATCTAAATTTTGTATAAGCCGCTCTTGAACGGATTTAATTTCATACCGGAAATTGGTTTCGCAATATGCACATGAACTGTTAAGGAGCGAGGATAAGAGAGAGGATAAGAGAGAGGATAAGAAAATCCGTTAGACAGCACTCAAACCGATCACTTTTCGACCCAAAGCACACCCCTCAACTACTGTCTTCGTCAACAGGCCTTTGTAATGTATTCAACTCGAATTCTTCCGCTTCAATTGGTGCGCATAACACAGACTCATCTGAAGCTATAACAGTTTCTTTTTCTTTCTGGCGGTTTATGGGTTCCATGCCAAAAGAGCTGCGCTAGCTTTGGGTGCCAAGCTACACTGTTCTGAAGTGATCGGTTTACCAGAGAGAACGCTCGATATCGACCGAAACGAAGAGTAGCCAGAAGTGACACGGCCTGGTTGGCATGGCGGGTTAGACAAAACTTCTTAGCAGCTGGTAATCTACATTAATGGTTTTACCCGATTTTAAAGGTTCATAATACAGCAAGCCCTTCTGGTCTCACCAAATATACATTGAGCATTAATTTGGTGTTAAGGATATTCGGCTCAGATGTCGCCCAAGATGTCGATCAATTCTACATAATCTATTAAGCGAATTACGTCAAACGATTTTTAGTAACAGCTCGACCTAAGCCTCAATTAGAGAATTGTTTTCATTTGAGCTTAAAGTCCTGCTCTTTGCATTTTTTTATTTCAACATATAAGATCACAAGATCATATGATCACATGATAAAAAAGTCACCTTGTCTGAAAAATTGTTAAGTATCGAACGGCTTGGAGAGGTTTAATTCTGATAGAGCCGTTAGTGTCAATTTACACAGTCGCTTAAGTTTTAATGGTATACCAATTTCAGAGTCAGCTCTTCGTGTTAACGGAGAGTGTTTCAAAATCGACCATGAGGTGGTGTGAGTCGATTCCCTTTTCACACGTTCTTTCTAAGATTTTTTCCAGGTCTAATGAGGCTCATTCGGTTCGTGGATGGTAGATAAGACCAAGTGGTGTTGAGGTTCAGGAATTATTCCGCAGTAAGGCATATCTGCCGTAAAAGACGACGATCTCTTCCTACGCGGTTTGCAGTGAATTGCACTCCTAGTCTTCTTGACTACTTCATAATTCTTGACTTAACTACTGTATTAAAATTTGACCAATTAACTTTTATATCTGACCATGATCTCATTTTCTGCTGTTTGGACATAAATATCGATCGTTGTTGCATAAATAAGACTATCTCTTTTAGAGATTACCGCTTTGTCAACACAAATTTACTTCTTTCGGAATTGTATTGTGTAGACTGGAGTGAATGCTGGATATATCCATCTACCGATGAAAAACTTGATTTCTTAATGGGAATTTTAAAGTCAGCCTTCGAGAGACATGTCCCCATTCGTACAATCACTAATAAGTCTATGTCCTGTCCATGGTTTACCTCAAAATCTCTGAAATCAATTAAGTTACGAAATAAACTTCATTCCATATGGAAAAAGAAACCCACGTTGGAAAATTGGAATGCCTTTAAATCGGCTCGAAACAGAGCGACGCTTGTTATCAGAAATGAAAAACGAGCTTATTTTAACAAGAAACTAAATTCTGGCCTCTCANAAAAAAAAAAAAAAAAAAAAAAAAAAAAAAAAAAAAAAAAAAAAAAAAAAAAAAAAAAAAAAAAAAAAAAAAAAAAAAAAAAAAAAAAAAAAAAAAAAAAAAAAAAAAAAAAAAAAAAAAAAAAAAAAAAAAAAAAAAAAAAAAAAAAAAAAAAAAAAAAAAAAAAAAAAAAAAAAAAAAAAAAAAAAAAAAAAAAAAAAAAAAAAAAAAAAAAAAAAAAAAAAAAAAAAAAAAAAAAAAAAAAAAAAAAAAAAAAAAAAAAAAAAAAAAAAAAAAAAAAAAAAAAAAAAAAAAAAAAAAAAAAAAAAAAAAAAAAAAAAAAAAAAAAAAAAAAAAAAAAAAAAAAAAAAAAAAAAAAAAAAAAAAAAAAAAAAAAAAAAAAAAAAAAAAAAAAAAAAAAAAAAAAAAAAAAAAAAAAAAAAAAAAAAAAAAAAAAAAAAAAAAAAAAAAAAAAAAAAAAAAAAAAAAAAAAAAAAAAAAAAAAAAAAAAAAAAAAAAAGCCTAAAGTTGCCGCGACAGTCGGGTCTTTATATTATTATTGACCAGATTTATATCCAGCCGAGGACTGTCACTCTGATAAAGTTTTCCAAAAAACTACTCCGTAGAATATTTTTACGCTTACAACAACAACAAGACGTTATATTCGGTGGCCGCGGCATCCGAGGGGTTAGCATTGCGTACTGCCATTCGGAAGGCTCAGGTTCAAATCCCCATGCGACCAACATCCAAAAGTTAGAGAAAATTAATTTAAATAAAAAATTAAGCTAAATTTTCTAATTGCTGTCGTCCCTCGGCCGGGAATGTCAACCCCTCCAAGTGTATTTCTGACATGAAATAAAGCTCCTCATAAAAAAAACCCTCACTCGTTCGGTGGCGGCTTAGTATAAACTGTAGGTTCCTCCATTTGTTGGAAAAACATCAAGACGCAAAACCACAAATTGGAGCAGGAGCTCGGTCGTCAATCAGTGGTTACAAAGCGCCAATTACATATATAATTTAAGGACTACTCTTTGTAGGTAGCTTGACATGCCTTCTCTCCCGATTCTCTTATACCGAGTTGTTACTGCTCTCAGAGAGCCTTTTTTTGGCCGGCTGGGATTAAAGTTCCCAAGCACTACTTTAACATTGTAATGGTGGCAGCGCTCATAAGGTACTTGAGGCGCTTAAAGAAAGTATGTTTTATCACTTGTCCTTCTCTACCGTTCTGGCTCGGTGGCATACAAATTTTATGTGGAACAACTTTGCTTTGCTGTAGAGAGCGGGTAGACATTCATCAACTGGAGAAAATGACAATTCTCAGCAATTGAGTATCTCTCTCCCAATGGCTCCAACAACAAAATAGCACTAATTTATGTAAACGCTTTTAATACTGCTTGCTCAAAACTAGATGAGGCAGCGAGGCCAGCCAACGGTGGAAGTAAAGGATGAGGATGACCGCTAATAGGTTGGAAAATCAGATAAAGAAGGGCCTGGATTCACTTTCTGTCTCCAATAAGTGCCGAACGGCGAAAAGAAGAAACGACTCGTGCACTCTAGCTCATTTTGTATTAATCGCGTCCACGGGAATCTAGGAAATTAAGAAGAAATAGAAGCTTCTTGACTTTCCCCTATAAGCGAGTGCAGAACTGAATAATTTTCAAACTGAAAATGAGTACTAAACACGGTAAGTTCTTTACGAAACACTTTGTAAAAAAAAATTTACACTACCACAAAAAAAAGGGTTAAAAAAAGGGTTAAAAAGTAGTAAAGCGTAGAAAAAGCTCCATAACCAAACCGCAGCGCCACCTACACCACTGGGCACATGTTAATTTAAACAACTAAGCTAGCTGTCACTGAGCTAAGAAAAACAAAAAATAAAAATAAAAAAAACAGGTAGTTACAACAAAAACTTGTGGGTAAGAGTTTCAAGTCATCAGTGGCAAGCCATTTTTTGTTATCTCATTTTTTCGCCGCTACACTTTTAATGGTTTTCACTGTCAGCAACATTTGCAACTACAATATGTATGCAGTATGTATGACTATACATACACGTACACATAGACAATTGGTGGTCGTCTAAAAAAAGGAAGGCCATTGATTTTCCGGCTTCTATGCAATGTGCGGAAATGCTATGAATTCGAACTGTGACGCCCGCAACTGTGACTAAAGTATCCTTTTACTTTACGAATCGCCACCGGCACCTATGTACAATGTAAAAATAGTAAAAAAAAAAAAATTAAAAAGAGAAGAAGAAGAAGCAAGCACTAAAAGTGTAACGAAAACAGCAGCACAAATAGCAAAAATCTTTTTTATTGTGTTAATTTAGGAAAGAGATTAGGAGATGAGAAAATGTCGAAAGGATATAACAATGCAACAAAAAAAAAAAAGAAAAAGAAAATAGAAAAACTTCAGCTTTGTACGTTTAAAATGAAAGTTAAAAACAAATGCCAGTGATACAAAATCTGAAAAGTTTCTGAAAAGTTTAGAAAATTTTCGGCAAAAGAAGTTTGCAACAAGAATTTGCTTTTAATTCTGCACTTTCGCTCTTCACATTTCAAAATTGCCTTAAAGGCCTTTTGTCCATGCACTGCTATATCCATTATCGGCCAACACAATGTCATAATCAAATCAATGGAGAATTCTAAAATAATCAAATTATTTTTAGTGACAATACGCCAAACGTTATGCTTCAGCAACTCGCCTACAAACACAGCGACATGTTGCATATGCCTTTCAGTTGGTCTTTTGAAAAATAGACAAAAAAAAAAAGAAAATAAAAAAAATAAGAGCGAAACAAAAAGTCCTTTCTTTTGAAACACAGTAGCGCTTTGATCTTATTTTTAGTACACTGACCATAAAATAGTCTTAAAAAAAATAATAAAAACAGTTTATTGCGTTAAAAATGTTGAATAGAAAAATGAATGAATTTTGAACCAAAAACAGCTGAAGTAATTTTTTTTATTTTAACTTTAAATACACTATATGCGACTTACATTTAATGCCAAATGGTTCAGAGTTTATACTAGTTTACTAATGGAATGTTTGGACTAGTTACGAGCTAGTCCAAAAAAACCAAGTTGTTATTAAAAGTATGTTAGGTTAGATTGAACAGGCTGACTCTTCGGGTCTCACATAAATAGACAATATTACGTTCATAGAGTTGCAGTCATATTATATACATATAAACAAGTTTTTTATTTTATTTCTAATGTAATGAACATTACTGTTTTTTGACCTCTTGGCTATTGTCGATTGAAGGTCCTGTAGCCTTTCGACGCCAAGTAAGCATAGCCTTTGCCAGTCGAATGCTCTCTACAATCAAAAATCATATGCTCCACATGCGACGCCTAGAAGCAATGCCTTCTTCAGTTTTTCTAGCAGCGTAGAATCTGGTCGCCTCCCATAAAGTATAAGTTAAGCGTAAAAGGACATCCATTAAAATTGAAGGGAGGATGTTGAAAGCAGGGTCAGTAAAGCGCTCTGAATTTGGAAGAGTCGCCCTAAAGCTATTGCACCGGAATGGGATCAGCGTCCACACATAGTGCATTGGCCAAGTGTTGTTAGAGCCATACTAACATATGGAGCACCAGTATAGTGGGCGGCAATGAAAAAGAAATGTTGCATTAAATCCTTGGAACAGTTGCAATATACCTGCCTACTTGGCGTAACAGGCGAAATAAAGCCATAGAAGTCACTCCGAAATTTAGCCCAATTAATACACAAGCTAAGTATGTAGCATCGCTAACCGCCAGCTGCCTAAATGTTGTTGAAAAATTTGGGTCCAGTGCGCCAATTGTAAAGCAAGTGGCTGCTTTCAGAAAACTATATCAGAACTCCAGCTAAACGTTGAATGCGACCACTAAACGGCAACCTTCTGCCTGGTAAATGTCACTTACTCCTTTCCCAGTCAAGTGAAGATATCTACAACTTTACTGATGTGTCTAAACGTGAGGCATGTACGGAACCAGAGTTCTTTTGTGAACACCGCAATAACGACGGTAGCTTCCAACTCAATGACTACAACTCCATGTGAAATGGGCAAGAGCATCTATCAGGTTAATGGCAGACAGTCAGGTGTCAATAGTGCCCGGCGCCTACTACTGATGTAGAAGGTAATGAAAAAACTGATGAGGTGGCTCGCGGGATTTTATAACTCTGACCTTACAGCATATTTAAGTGTTGTTAAACTTAAAGACCTGGAACATTTTCCACCGTAGAACGTAGCACTAAATTTTTGTGGGGGGAGTGTAAATTTTAGACAGACCAAACTGCTGCTAACTTCAGGTAAATAAGAATACTTGTGAGTGTATGGATGGAGCATCTAACCCTGTGATGTCATCTCCGCAAGCTAGGCAAAATGGAAACCGTTAAGTAAAGCCGATGGGGAAATCCTTAGCCGTTTGGAGGCGGCTTGGAATAAACTATAGGTGCTATGAGAAGGAACTCAGACGAAAATCTATTCAGCTGCTTTAAAACGTTGCACAAAGCGTGCTCTCTAAGCTCAATGCTGTGGTGCGCACAACCGGAATAAAACCTCTGCAAATGAGTCTTAGCTTATCATCTTTAGGGGAAATCAAATCAAGCACATCGGAAACATTTATCCATCCCACTGTCTATTGAAAGTAGAGTAGTGAGTCGAGCCATCATCTTCAGGGGAAATCAAATCAAGCACATTGGAAATATTTATCCATCCCACTGTCTATTGAAAGTAGAGTAGTGAGTCGAGCCATCATCTTCAGGGGAAATCAAATCAAGCACATTGGAAACATTTATCCATCCCACTGTCTATTGAAAGTAGAGTAGTGCGTCGAGCCACTCCGGGGGGCGAATACTTTAGTCTCGACCGATCTTCTTTAGCAAGGCTGAGATTTAAGTATCTGGATAGGATAGTTTTAGGTGTGGTTTATGAAAATCTGCCGTCGCCTGTAATTAAAATCATATACAAATCATTGTTGGGTTAGGCGGTGAGAGCTCAATGAGCCTACTCAATGGCTTAGGTGCAATAGTTCGCGGT